TATTGTTGGCGGCTGCGACCCAGGCCTGGTCATTGTACTCCATCCAGTCTTGCCCCTCCCCAATAACCGTCCGGGGACTGGAGATAATCTCCACGTCGTCGTCAAGGTCCTCCGGACTCCTCTGGCGCCGCTTGCCTTTGCCCTTGGGACTCGGAGATCCCTCTGGACGTGCACGTTTCTTGCCTTTGCCTTTGCCAGCCGGCGTCTTGACAGGCAGATTTCCGCCGACACATTTTTCCTTTGGATGCGCGGCATTGGTCACATGTCCGGATCTTCCGGAATCATTAGCAATCATCCGGATCCGGATAAAACAAACACTCACTCTAGGCATCTTGGACGCTACTGCCTAGGTGCAAGCCTTGCGCCTGGTGACGCACATCTCGCATGTGACCTCCGGATCCGCCGGACCGGAGGACTAAGACTCTATGAATCTCCGGAAAACATAAGAGTCTGGACAGCTGCGTTTATTTCGCAGTTTATTTCGCAGTTTATTCCTGTAGGTGGTGTGGTAACAAGTAACAAGCTGTGACTCACATGTGACTTGATCAGCGTCCACACCACCCCTTGCCAATGGCGAAACGGAAGAGTACTAGTACAGCGCCTGTCAACAACACTGCAAGTGTAGGCTCAGCCACTCACTGGACCGACAAAGCAACCTCCCGGCTCATTCAATATCTCACACTTCATCGTGCCAAAGGTGGAGATGGTATCAACTTCAAACAGGCAACCTTTGCCGCTGCAGCGGCTCATTTGTTGGAGCCACCAGACGGCACTCCAAAGGAGAACTACATAGTGGGAAACAAAAGGGACTGGCAGTCATGCAAGAACAAATGGATTATGGTACGTAGTATGTTGTTATTTCACAGTTAATCAAGTCCTGACTGCTACAGTGCAAGAAAAAGCATGCCGCTATTGTTGAAATCAAGTCGCAATCAGGCTTTTCGTGGGACGAGGAACTTGGCGCAAATATTGGCCCAGCTGATGCCGCATGTTGGACAACATTCGCAAATGTAGGTTTTCATGATGTGGATCTGTTGCAAGTCTGACCATTTTTCAAGGCACATCCTGATGCAAAGCCGTTTCGCAACAAAGGCTGGAAGCACTTTGACGAGATGGATGACCTTTTGCGTGCGCAGATCTCACGTGGCACCAATGCTTTTCATGCAGGCCAGGAAACCTTCGAATCGCAACACACTCCTAGCAACATCAGCAATGAAGGCCCTGCTGTCGAGCACGAGCCAGTGGCATCCACAACAGGAGACTCAGGAGTTAAAGAAGATGACAAGAGAACAATTGCAGAGAGAGAGCTAGATGACGATGAAGATGATATCATTCCTTGGGAAGCAACTCCTCCTCCTTCGAAGCGAAAATCTGCACCTGTGGCTTTGACTCCGTCTCTTACTGCTTCCTCATCTTGTCCCTCTGGTCCATCTTCGAAACACCAGCGCATTGGTGGATCAGCCACCGCACTATATGCAATAAATGATCAATTTTCTGAGTTCACCGATGTCTTCCGTGTAGCCTCACAATCACAAAAATCAGCTATTGCCTTATCACCTCAACACAAGCAGGCAGCAATGCGACGCGCACAACTTCTAGAAACACATCTTGATGATGATAGCATGGCCGCACTTATTGAAGCTTTTCAGATGGATGTCAGCGCTGCTGACACATATATTGTGATGTCCAACGATGGGCCAAGGAAGTCTTTTGTTGACCGCAAGATCAAATTTATCAACAAGCAGGGTCTCTAGATAGTATATATATTGTCGCGCACTCATCTTGTCATGTCTTGACGAGCTCTATGGTAATCCCTCCACATAGCATCTGCAATACTATCTCTGTCCTCCGTCGCCTTTTGCCTTTCAGCACGGCCTGCTGGTCCTTCAGCAAGATCACCCCTCGACTCGCCTGCATCAGCATCAATGAGATCCTCAGTAGCGAATTCCTCTATTTCCTTTGGATCGAAACTTTGAATGAAGTTGTGGACAGCACAAAGTGCCGGGGGAATTCGGGCTTGAGTCGACATACTATATTCTGGTGGATGTACGAGTATCACGAACCGCTTCTTGAGAATGCCGAAAATCCGCTCAATCACATTTCGAGCTTGAGCATGCCGAAGGTTGTATATTTCTTTGGAGTTTTGTGGCCTGCCTTGCATGAGAAGATTGATGAGTCAAGTGACATATTGCTCACCGAACTGCAGCTCGACCCCACTCAGCCAAGTGGTACCGGACACTTCGATACGGAACGAGAAGTGAATTGCATATTCCAAACCCAGCATCTGCAAGGTAGTATCTCCCTCCTGGAATCTACAGGTCAGTGAGACGGGCATTATTGTAGAGAGTCGAGTCTGAGGTTGATCCATCCCAACCACTGAGAACATACTGGAACCGAAGATCAAATGAACAGCATGCAAGACAATTTTGGCTGACAAAACCCTTTCGGTTTTGTGAAAGCTGTCTTTCTGCCACGGATGGACAACATGCAATGTGTGTACCATCCATGGTCACAAGTGCCCCTTTGAAGTATGGAAAGAGTTTCGAATTCCCTGATATTTCTGCTGGAATAGGTGCATCGTCCCGTGGAAGATATACAAATTTGTTGTAGAAGGGAGCTGAAGACAGAGCAAGCAGGACTCTCTTGAAATATCTGATGACATGTGAGATAATGAATATCTTGCAATATGAACATACTTCTGTGTGGTCGTGTGTGAGTGCTGAAAACGTTCTGCAACATGACGGCTTGAAAGCCCTGTCACACATGTATATAGAAATATGGAAACTTGCTCGTCAAGCAGAATATATTTTGAATCTCGTAGCCCACAAGTCCGAAGCTCATGTACAAGGGCATGGAAAACGTGCTTCCTCATTCCGAGCTCAGTCTTGATCCGGTCAGGATGTCCATTGGTGAGTTCTTGCACCCATGCATGTCCAGTGAGGAGTGAGGTATGGTAGGGCTGTTTCTCAAGAAATGGTGTCATGTAGGCAATTATAAGACCCATAACAAGTTGACCAATCATTGCAGCGGCCATCCGCAGCATGTGGAAACGCTGGATTTCATTAGCTGGAGGCATTTCAGCCTTGGTGTGATGTCATATGGTGCGTGATGCGGCGACCTTGTCACGGTTGTTTGTACATATTGTTACAAACAAAATAAACTACGAAACAAACTGCGAAATAAACGCAGCTGTCCAGACCCTAAAAAACCTCATCTGACTCACCTCCGACACATTATCCGCTCTAGCCTTCATCAGGCGCTCCCGCTCGCGTTCAGCCAACACCCTCCGAGTTTCCTCAATGTCCTTCCGCTTCTGTTCCTCCACGCGTTTCCGTTCCTCTTCCGCCTCCTTGCACTTGCGCTCTTCTTCCTCCGCCTCGAGCTGCGCGATTTCGGCGACCATTTCCGCCTGTCTCTCTTCAAGGAGTTGTCGGGCAGACTTCTTGTTGCCGGAAGTGGAGTTAGACATGTTAAAGCAGTAATAGGAGTTAGGGGGAAAGTTTTAAATGTTTCCTGGGCATTCTGGCCTACTTATATGCTTCAGTGCTATTTTTACGAGCTCCGCCCATCATCTCGCATTCATAAAACTCCGGACCGGACTTCCGAATCAGAAGCCTCGTGGGCTCGGCCCTAAGGGGGGGATACTGTCATATCCCGTGTTCCGGACCCGGACCTATCACACACATCATTTCCGGAAGTCCAGATCTGGCCGACGTCTATCTATGTCCGGATCCGACCCGCATCTAACTTCCGCGCCTTATCCCTTTGTACGTTCCTACTCCAGTTAGACTATATCATTTTCTGTACCTCATTTCATTTCCGCCTTTATTTTCATCTGTTCTAATCTCCGGGTTCATTTACTATTTTCCGATAGACTAGTGTTTGACTTTTCTATACGCTCCGTCCACAGCTTTGTATAGCTTCGGACTGCGCATTTCTGTTCTCCGATAAGTCCTCAGTAGTATATAAACCCTGTAGAATCTATGTACATCCTTATTTCGAATATCATCTTAGACTCTGCTCATTCCCTCCTCCGTCCGACTTGAGTTTCTCTCTCGTCGACCTCCGCTTGTCTTAGGATCGATTCCTATAGACTTGTCACCTCTGCCTCTACCTCTGGTAGTCCTCCACTGTTTCCTTTCTAGTTCGGACTTTGTCCGGATTAGTCTTATCTCTTGTTCCTGAATGTCTGCCGGAATTCCCGCGCATCGGACATCGGACTCCGGGCATCGCCCGACACCCTCCGGACATTGTCCGGTAACCTTTGGACATCGTTCGACAGCCCTCAGAAGTTAGGGGCATGTACTTGGGTAAGGGGCGCAGCGCACGAGCTGAAGCCAAGCCCTTCGGATCTGACCTTTGAGCACGTTCTTAACAGGACCTCTCTGATATCAGACAATGTCTGATGTCTGATGGGACTGAATGTACTGGTATCAGACCCTACAGACAAATCAGGAAAAATCTAGGTTTTCTGATGTGAAATGCTGTGTGTCTTTTTTAGACATCATTTCTAGGGCTCTCTGAGTCCAACTAGTATGCGCTGACAGGCCTTCTCTAGCACTCTTTCCCAATACTACTAACTAGGTTTCTCTTCACCTTACTACCACTAGCCATGGTTCCGGTGGCAAACACCAGCTTGGATACTCTGGTTTCAAGCTAAGAACCTGGTTGACACTGCCACTTTTGCATATAAGGTAAGAATGTCACAACAGGCATGCAAAGCTATGCCCTCTGAATCTCTTACTTTGTTACAGCAAGGCCCAATAAATGGGCAAGGCTTTTTCTGCGAGCATAGTCCCGCATGGCATTCCCAGCCGAATATTAGCATACTCCCTGGATAACTCGAAAATGTCAGTGGCAAAGGGCCCTCCTAAAGTACTAGAAGATTCAAGCGACACTCCACATCCTCGGCAAGTTTGCTGATAAGTAGCCAATCTAGCACTTCAGTGGAATCAGCTTCAAGCCTGGAGCCAAAACCTTGCCTCCTGTTAAAGCCAAAGATGCTGAAGCCACCAGTGTTGGAGCTAAAAGATGGTGAGTCATATCTGATTAAAATATCATGGGAGTTCTTTGCTAAGCTCTACAGATCTTCGTCAGCGTATTATTGCTGCCATTTGGAAGGGCGGCAAGGGACCTGAACACGAGGTACAAGAAGCCATCACCATTCTTATCTTTCTCTGGCTGATTGCCATACCAGGTATTTTCCAATGTTTCAGAGCAAAATTATCATTATATCCTGAATGCAATTGAATCCGACGATAATCTCATTCACAAGTAAGCCTTCTCTCCACCTGCCATGTCTAAGCTGATCCAGCACTTTCTCCAGACCATCATACATCCCACCCCTTCAAAAACTCTCTGTCAACCTGCTGACTCCAGTACACGAATCCATTCTAGCGCCTCTGTGCACTACAATGGGAAACATCGCAGCATCTTTGCCACTTCCACAAGCACTCCATACTGCCATCCACATGCACATGAACACGATGGTCGAACAAGGGGAAGATAATGAGGACAATGAAGACAAATGTAATCTCAGCATCCCTGATATGCTAATTCAACGTGAGACAAGAGATGCAGAGTTCCACCCGCTATGGCCTTTGAAGTATCATTCTCCCAATCTTCAGAGTCGGCAGGATCGAAAATCCAACTTTTTGTGGACAAGAACCCCCACATCGAGGGGGCCACCCATTTTCACATTGCCGAGGCAGAAAGACACACCTTAGTGAGCGATGAATGGGCGATTGAGCAGGAGTTAGACAAGAAGAAGGTTGGGCACATCAAAGAGGTCAGTGGGAGTGCAAGTGGTAGTGGGATCTCATTTTGCTCGCACACTTGGCTGCAACCCCTCACGATAACCATTATGACTTGGCTCCACCCCCCTAATGGATGGTTGAAGATAACCAACCATTGTTCGCAATATTACACCACCATGGTACATAGTATATGTTTTTGATACTAGCGACTAGTTCTAACTAATTTAATGCAATGCTAACAGGCACTCTTCCCGCAGCAAGACAATGCTAAACTTCGATGTGTCCAGCATCTATTCAAGTGTACCCTGGAAAGAGTTCATGACTCAACAGTCTGGCATCTGGAGGGTGAACATCCTCCAAGTACTAGTGGCGACTGTCATATCCCGCATTCCGGACCAACATCAGACGATGTTCCCACGCCTCATCCGGACCTCCGGACCTCCTGTCCATGTCTCCAGACCCAATCCTCTATCCGTCCGGATCCCTGTACTCCTGCATCTGATATCCGGACACCAGATCTGATATCCACATCTCCGGATCTCCGGATCCGACCTATCTGTCATGTCCAAACCCAAACCTTAAATCAGCGCCCATCCCCTTATGGTAATCACCTGTCTCCGGACTTCCGAACATCCGGATCCGACCCACGTCTATCTTCCGGATCCGACCCGCGTCTATCTTCCGTGCCTTATCCCTTTGTATGTTCCTTCTTGAGTTAGACTTCCTCATTTTCCGTACCTCGTTTCATTTCCGGCTTTATGTTCCTTTGTCTTCATCTCCGTCTTCATTTACTATTTTCCGATAGACTAGTGTTTGACTTTTCTACATCCTCCGTCCACAGCCTCGCATAGCTTCGGACTGCGCTGACTGACTCTCCGTTAAGTCCTCTGTAGTATATAAACTCTGTAGAATCTTTGTACTTCCTCAGTCTGAATATCATACACATATTAGTCCTCGCACTAGCCTTCACCCTAAGTCCTCGTAACAGTTCTAGTCCTCCGACTTAGTCATTATCCATCTCAGGCCTAGGGAGAAATTCCCTAGGCCGGAGCTCCGCTCCTCCGCTCCTCCACTCATCCACTCATCCACTCATCCACTCATCCGATCCTCCATTCCTCCGAGTTTCCGGAAGTTCCTCCGGAACTTTCCCGCGGTCCTCCGGACCTATTCTGCTTCGGACTTTGTCCTTGCAGCCTTTCCTCTGTTTCCTTCTACTCAGGACGAGTCCTGAGTAGCCATTACACATATCCCCATCAGGACGAAACTCCATCGTAATTTCCGGAAGTTCCTCCGGAACTTTCCCGCACTCATCCGGAAGTTTCTCGCACTCGTCCGGAAAGTCCTTCCGAAGTTTCCCACGCTCCTCCGGAAGTCCTTCGGACTTCACTGGACTTTCTCCGGACTTCATTCTGAAGTTAAGGGCACATACTCGGGTAAGGGGCGCAGCGCACGAGCTGAAGCCAAGCCCCTTGGAATCAGTCCTACCCTTTGTGCACGGTCTTAACAGCGACCCTCTCAAGTAAGTACCATTAATCCGTCAATGACTTTAGCAATTCACGCAGTTCTTTTCAGCACCTTAATCCAAAACCTCAGAGGATACACTCTTCTGGGCACAGTAATGGCTTGGGGTGCTTATGTTGATGGCTTGGAGATGGCTGCCAAGCAAACGGGATTCAGGAGATATTGCAAGTGGCACGGTGTAGGAATACAACACAGAGTGGGGCTATACAAAGATGGCTCCAAACTGATATCTATATGTTGTGGTCTTGCACTGCCTAGTCTGCTATACTTGGTGAGACAAGTGCGTTCAACCCAGGGGTCTGCGGTCTGGGAATAGTTTTGGGGGTCAGTGAGTGATGTGGGGTCAATAGTCCGAGTGCGGGAAACAATGTCTGAAGGTATAATTATGATGTCCGATGCAAAAGTGTCAGGTCCGATATTTTCAGGGTTTCGGGTTATTGGGTTCGGGTTCGGGGTATCGGAAACTAATAGCAACGCTATAGCGAGCATCGGGAAAGTGAGAGGTGTGCGCAATAATAACGATGACGGATATGGGCGGTGAAGGAACGATGATATTCACAATGTCAACTAAGAACTACGAAATATCGGGTTTGACCCCTAAGCGTCGGAGAACGGCTCTCCTCTACTTGGATGATCGTAATGCTATGGGGAGTCCAATATTTATGTAGATACGTAGAAGGCTGGAACCCTATAGGCGAAAGTAGTAGTGCAATATTTTTGGGTCTGATGTCCTATGTAATAAGACATGAGGTGCTGCGGACATGTAATAATGTGGTCTACAATGTTAGTGATGGGAAAACAAGTAACTACGCACCTAGTGGGGCTAGCAAAATGACACAGGACATAGGTAGGACGAGTGCGCACAATATCCGATAGTCCAATGCGATGTCCGATGTCCGATGATTTTCGGGTTTGGTGCGTATTGAGTCGGATATGATAGGGAATGATTTGGGTAATGATTAGCATTGATGCACGCATCGGAAATTAGACCTCTACGAGGCCACAGAGATGTCAGTCTCTACAATGGGAACTTCCTGAAGTGCACCATCGACGAGGTCGATGATGCTGAGTATGTCCCATCTGGAAGCTCCAACAAGCAAGGGAGATGCCATTAATACCTGGTTACATTGTGTTTGATCATGATTCGCTCAATTTTCAGGTTTGTTTTCATACTAAATGCTTTTTTTTCCCTTTGTACAATGTACCACTTTGTTCTTAGTTTGTCAGGCTTACTACTACTAGTAGTACACGTGGTATGAATTGTCCTGCTCCAAATTGTGTGACTTTGGTTGAATGGTTGATTCATCATTGAAGGTGTTACTGGTACTAGTAGTACCGGTGTAAAGAGTTGATTCGTTGTAGGCGCTACAAATGTATTACCTTAGAACTCAATGTGCGAGTGTAATGCTCGTCCCAAAGAGACTGCCTATAGAATTATCTCTTGATATAAATGCAAGGGATATCTTGTTAAGATCAAAGGTGAAAACAGGAAGAGTTACCCAAAGTGCATCTCGAGTTCCGAAGATGCGTCCGAAGTACCGAAGTACTTGTCCAATGTGAGCAAAGGTGGTCCAAAGTCAAGAAACAAAGGTCCGAGGCTGTACGAGGTGTCCAATAGACATCCGATGAGCAGCGAAGGTTCCGAGAGAGAAATACGGTGGATGTGTCGAAGTGTGTCGAGATATGTCGAAGTATAAGACTTAATAGAGGTACCAAAGTACGACTAGACAAAGTCTATCAGAAGAGCTAAGAGATATCAAGATGCGAAATGGCAGCGGTCAGGCCAAACAATCGTTCCGAATGAACAAAAAGATCGATCGCGCGAAGTACGACTATCCAAAGTGACTCTACAAACTATGACTCGTAGCCAGGAAAGTGAAAGTGAAGTGCGAGTATCTGGCGAGTCAGATTATATCCTACAGTGTGAAAGTCCGGAATCTGCGTAGGCGAAACTAGTAGCGAGATAAGCTATCCGAAATGTAATAAGACTCAAGGCGAGCCGCTACAGAGATATGCATGTAATAGCACATGAGGCGTGTAGCCATACGTATTAATCAAGCTTTTCAATGTATGTGCCCCTAAGACATGATCAATAACAAATAAACCAATGTAAAAACGCACCAGCGAAGTCAAACGGACATGGAAAGGACATGGTACGGAGGATTGGACGTGTATACAGACCTCGGAAGGGAACGGATGACCTTCGGACTACTCGGACGAGTGCGTGGAACTCTCGGAAGGTAAAAGGAGTGTCAGGGAATATAAGTGTGAGACACATACAATTTAGGAAGGATACGCGACCAACGCCAGTCTGAGTGTTACACCGGGTTCAACTCCCATCAGCTGTATTTTTTTTTACAGTGTGAAGTTGCTGACATGAACTTCCACTCATCTGATAATTACTGTCTGTATTGATGTTATGAGATCCAGATTGTCTGTTCTCCTTGCTGATATGAGAACCTGATGTTGCTTACTGCTGTTTCATCTAATATTCCTGAAACCAATACTAGTCTGGGGGGCATATGGTCTGTGCTACTGAGGATAGGGAAATATGACCTTGTGTGCATCTAATCCCTCTGATTGAGCTGTAATCAGTACTATCTGAGGGACAGATATATTGTACTGTCTGCAATAATGTATTTGTGCCTCAATGGCAATATGATTAGTCTGTGGGTACTGATATTCTGCCAGGTAAAGTGTTTGTCTTGCTTATGCCATCTGATGTGTCTACTATTACTGCTGGTTGGGTGGACAAATAACACTGCTCTGCCTGTCCATTTAGGAATTTAATGGTATTGGCACCTCATTGCACTGATTAGGCTGTTAGTATTAATATTCTAATGAACAGACAGCCTGTACTATCTGATGGTATAGAGTCAGGACTCAATTATTATATGATAGGTCTGTTGGTATTGGTGTTCTGATGGAATATGTATGTGTTTTGCCTGAATGATCTGCCTGGTCTGATGTCAGACATATAGTATGTCATACTCTGAGGTAGGCAGCTCATTATGGCTATTAGACCATGCAGGTCAATCAGGGAAAATACAGGTTTCCTGATGTACATGCAGAGGAGCATTGTCAATTTGAGCATTGATGATCATTTGAATAGCACAATCCACTTCAGATAGACTGAGATACTGCTGGCACAATTCTACAGAAACAATCAGAGCATGTTAACAGATGAGGTATTAGGGCTTACTTTGTGTCTCGGAGTCGGAAGCATTACTCAATTTTGAGAACATTGTTTGAAAGGCCACAATAGCTTCATCATAGTGTTGTGTACCATGAAATGCTGCATGCTTCAACATGTATCCAATATGAGATGAAGGGTTGGATTTGATGACCTATATATCGCCAAAGTTGGCTATTAGTTACGAAATGGCCTGAGTAGGCGCCATCGTACCTTCTGTGCATCCAGAAGTGCTTCTATCCACAACATTTTCCCCAACTTGGCCTTGCTATGATTTGCAAAGATGATATTAGTCATAGAATCCAGGTCAATAGCTCTATCATAATTGCCTGCATTGAGGGTAATATCTCCATTGGTAAGACAGAGTGCACTGCATTCTTCCCTGAAAGCTGAGTAAAATGTTGATTAAGATTGTAGCCTGTGCCAAATTATGAATCCCAGACTTACCATTGGACCAGTCAAGTCTGCCTTGTTATTTTTACCACTTGAAGCTATTATGTATCGGTATGATTTCACGGCATCTGGAAGATTACCTGCCTGAAGAAGTGCATGACACTGTTTCTGATGTGTCTTTTGCCATAAGGACTTCAGGTCCCAGCCAAAGAGCTGGACAATACAGTTATGGACAGCATCATATATACATCATCTAACACACCATAGCGAAGTCCTTGTACATTTCATGAATGTCTGGTTTTGATGAGAAAGCGTCAGAGTTGATAGTGTCAGTGAAGTGGTCAGTGGCTTCATCATAACACATGCCATACAAGGCTTTGAATCCAAGTTGAACACATAGATATGCCTAATGTGCGAGTTGCAAGAATTAGTGTTGATGACATAATGTGCAGACCCTTCAGTCATTTTTCATGTAGAACTATGGCTCCGGATATGGTATTGGTGTAGAGACTGATATCTCTGTGGGCTTGCAGGGATCTAAATTCCCATCGTCCAAATCACTTCCTAATACAGTGCAACTCATATCTCACCTTGCGCACTTGAGCGCTTCGTCGGCCGCTTGCGTGCATGAGCGCATCAGTCGTGCATCGGCGCGCGCACCCTTGGTTCCGTCGCTTGTCCTCTGTCCATCCATTCCATGTCTGTTCGGTTCATTGGTGCGTATTCCCATCTTATTTCCATTTATTCTGACATAACTCCGGCGCTTATGGCCATATTTCGTATGTTTTCCGTCATGGACCCTTACATTACATATTATCTCGTATCCGCTTCACTTCTCGGTTCGCTTTAGTGCTTGACAGCACTTAACATTACTTAGTATATATACTCGCGCCTAAACTGTATTATGAGCATCTTTCTGCCCGCACATCATTGGACTCTAAGTCTAAGTTCTCCCTCATATCTCTTAAGTATCTAAGTAACAAATACGAGCGCTGCCGCCGCACATTACTAGAAACTCTGCCTATTAGTTTTCTGACTCATTAAAAAGTCACCATGCTCCACCACCCGCATGCGTGCACCGCTTCCGCTCAGCGCACGCTTCCGTTATAAGTCGCGCGTCGTCGCTCATTGTTGCCCACTGTCGCTCCTCATCGCACGCCTTACCAGGCTTGACCAAGTGCCCGGTCCAGTGTTTCCCTCCACATATACACTTAGAGGAACCTTCTCAGTAGCAATCTCCTTGGGTCGACACATATCTCACTCATCAAGGACTACTTGAGTTTCTCTCATATCACTATATAACCCCACTACCAATTCCTCACCTACAACTGGAGCCCACCGCGAGGGGATCATCTGAGAAAACTGGTAGGTTACTCAGGCCTACCAAAGAACGTGTCGCAAGGAACAAAGTCTTAGAAGAATTCCGAAGAGCGGTCGCCTCTTCGCGCTTATCCACCATTCAGGAAATTTTGACCCCGGTCAAATACAAGCGCCCACAGAACTTCTTGGAGCCTATGTGCCCCAACCTATCCCTATTGTCACCAAACCCATTTGCACCCGCGTCGCTGGTCACGCTGTTGCCCAAAGAATCAGTGCATGGCGAATCCTTGGACGACTTCGAGTCACACAACCATCCCTGCAACCTGCCACCCGGCGCGTTTGTTGAAACACCTAAAAATCCATTAGACCCAAACTTTATTTCTTTGTCTCCGCTTACCCCGCTAACCGTTGTAGAATCAACTATACAGAGAGGAACAAATGATGCTCCTGACTGTATCTATAATGTTGTGAGGTTGTGCGTTGCCTAGTCTGCTATACTTGAGACGACAAGTGCGTTCGACCCTAAAGGGGAAGCAAGTGCAGCAAGGATCTGGTAGTAGGCGCTGAAGGCACTACTGGTTGGCTAATGCGGAGTGCGTGAAAGCGCAGGTGCGCGCGACGAGGCGCGGGAAAGGGAAGGTGCGCGTGTGAGCGGAAATGAGAGAGAGTAAGAGTGAGTTTGCTTAAGTGATGATTAGATATTAGATGAGGTGAGAGATGCAAGCTGAGAGACGAGGTGCCAAAGAATAGATTGCAACTATATTCTGCTAGGTAGTAAGTGGGTAAGTGGGAGGTAAAGTGGAAAGTGAGTTAGGTGAGTAATATTATGTACTGCTGGCGCTTATATACGGTGCCTAAGCACTGTCATGCAGAGCCGAAGCGCTACCGAGTGAGGTATGTAAAGATATATGTAAGTAAGGGTCCATGATAAGAATAAAGGTGGTATGATATGCAAATAAGGGCAAATGGAAATACACGCACTAGAGAACTTGGTGGACAGTGGATGGATGCTTCTGGATGGTGGGCACTATAGGGCGCTCAAGCGTGGGAAAGCGCGCGCATATACCTCGTGAAGTGTGGGAAGTGTGTGCGCATGTTGCGCGTTGCGCGGGAAAGCTGCGCCTCGTAAGGGAATAGCTGCAGATAGCATACAGAGTGATGCTGCAAGTTCGTGCTGTGTACTCCCTAGTGAAAACTGCCATATCACACAATGAGAGGCATGAGTCTCTACACTGTTTCTAGCGCGACCGTCAAAGAAGAACCTTCATCTCGGATTCATGCGCTGCTAACAAGCGTAGCGCCTGTTGTTAAAATGGAACAAACGGAACCCCTAATCGGGCTGACCTCTATTCGGAACCGCGCCGCCATATTTATCCCTCAGTTTGCTCAAGCAGGACCATCAAATGTCATACTTCCAACGCCCACCATAGCCAAGCCTCAACCTACCAAACCTCAACCAGTCAAAATGTCTTTGACTATCAGAATGCCGATCCGCGGTTCGGACAAAGCACCAAAGTTCGACAGCATGGTGGAAAACCTCCTCGTGTTCATTGAGGATTATGAGTCATGCGCCGATGACGCGAACCTAGTCGGGGGAGACCGAATCAAAGGTATCATTCGCTACTTGCCTAACAGCGAGCGCGCACTCTGGTCTGGAATGCCGGAGGCAAAGTTAAGCAATTACGACACTTTTATCGATGAGGTAAAGAAAATGTACCCCGGCTGTGAAGGCGAAAAGTGCTATGTCATATCCGACCTTCAATCGGTTGCGCGCAAACACACGGCCCTACCAATGCCTTCGCTCACCGAGCTTGGCAATTACCGCCGCGCATTCAGAGAGATCGCTGATTCCTTGATCGCAAAAGATCACATAGGTAAGGCGGAACGAAACCGCATGTGGCTAGAAGGTTTCCCAAGCAATGTTCAAGCACTGCTTCACACGCGCTTAATGATTAAGTTCCCGGACCACCATCCGCGCGACCCTTACCCCTTTGCAGATGTGGACGCAGCCACCAAATTCTTGATTCCAGGAATGGGAGCCGTGACTCCAGAAACCATTGGAACATCGGTATTAATGCCGTATCCAAGCGCTGCCACACCGGCGGTAAAGGTGCTGCAACAACCGGCACAAGGTACAGTTGTCAAACAGGAGTACCAAGCGCGACGACCCAGCGGTTCACCACCAAGCAGTTGCATGTTCTGCGGAAAGAACGATCACTTCTTGAGCCGCTGCCAAGAAAAGGACGCCTACATTAGTGCCGGCAAGTGTAAGGTACACCAGACATCGATGAAACTGGTATTGACCAGTGGAGATTGGATCCCTGGACGCGCAAGCGACGGTACCTTGAAGGATCGGCTCAATAGGTATCACTCGAACAAGCAGGCGAACGAAGCGCTTCCCAGCTCTAGTGTTACCGCAGCGCTATATGTTCGTGTGTCGTCGGATGTCGACGTCGTACTAGACATAGACCCGTCCACGTTCATTCACACCATCGCAGAATCCGAGTCTGATATAGATGAGGAGGAAGTAGATGTGTTACACGCCGCGCAAGCACTTGCACTTGCAACCGCCAGACACAATACCAAGCGCGGGTCAGCAAAAGGCGAAGGTAAAGGAAAGAACGTCAAGTTTGATGGTGTAGAAATCACCAGCAAGTATTGCGCGAAGCCAGCACCCGCATCTAGGCAAGCCACTGTAACAGAGGAGATTATCTCTCCTGCTGTCCAAGCTTCGTCAAGTAAAGGGAAAGCGCCAGAAGTCGTGAAAGCAATAACCGTGCCAGTAGCGGCCAAATCATCTGCGAAAACGCGCAGGGTAGCCGCCGCTCCCACAACTTCATCTTCATCCTCACCCGGTATAACGCACACTGACCTAGCAGATTCGACAACACCAACGGCAACACCTTCAGCAAAAACGGCATCATATTGGTACTCTCATGGCTTAGAGGACAAGGACACTGATAAGCGCATCCTCGAGTGCCTGCTGGATACCAATTTAAGTATTTCGACAAGGGAACTATTCGCAATATCGCCCAATCTCCGCAAGCAATTCCGCGACCTCACCACCACCAAACGTGTCACAGTCGGCACAGTATCAGTTAATGAGCTAACAGGACACCTGGTTTCAGACGAATGGATGCGCGACTATGACGCTAAGCGCTTGTGAAGCGACGATGGCTGAGTTGTAGCGGACCATTTTGGAGCCCCTTCAGTGACCTAACCCTGTAAACATGGTCAGCCCACCTTGACATTTCTTCCGAGTGACATGGGCCAGCCCACCATGGGCCCACCTTATCATGGTATGTCATTGTGTTCGAGTGGGCCTGTGTATGCCATGTAACCCATGATTATGAGTAGGCCTACTGCACATATTCATTGAAATGTTGCAGTGGGCCCACATGAGTCTATATGGGCATACATTGTATTAGAGGTGGGCCCATAGTACACTGGAAAGGTATTTCCCCTAGAGTTTCGAGTGGGCCCATGTATTTCAGGTCTGTCTACAGGATCACCGGCGCAATACGGGGCGGCGAACAACACAAGTTGCACCGGCGAATGCAAATAAGATGTGCAACCGCCAGGATCATGCATGTCATCACCGGCAGGCGAGAATGATATGTCAAATCTGGCGCAATTATCATCATCGCAACCGGCGATGAATTACACTGGCGCCCAATATGATAGATTCATTAAAAACGGCGAGCAGGAATTATTGCTAAAATTAGATTGAGCACAACCGCCGGCGATTGGGTATTTTTTAACCAGGTGAACAGTGGTGCGAATCACAACTAGATCACAATTAACAACCAGCGAGTTATTGGAAATGTCACCGTGCATCGGCGATGTTGTCCGGCGGGTGCTCCTGATGTGCTGGCCTGTCATACGTGTGGGCCCACATATCAATTCTAACGATCGGGTGGGCCCACGAGGTGTTGCATCGCAATGGCCGAGCCCGCAGAATGTATGTCCATGTAGCGTGGGCCTGCCATCAGCTGATAAGTGGGTTGGGCCCATTTCTCTTCCACGCCATGGAAGGGTGGGCCCGGGCCAGTTCCATGGTTTGTAGGGCTGGCTGAGCCAATTTCAATATGCCCATGGGTGGGCCCGCCTGTGATGTGACAGATGGGCTGGGCTCAACGGCATTTACCTGGACAGGCGAGCAGGCCTGGGAAACTGCAAAGATGATACGGGTGGGCCGGGCCAATACATCACGCTGCTAAAACGTGGGCCTGCCGGTTAGCTGTTACATGAGCTGGGCCCGATCTCAGTCAACGGGATAGGCGGACAGGCCTAGTGGATCGCGTGGACACTAGGGGTTGGCCCGGCAGATGTGCTGTCGCTAGCGAGTGGGCCCATTCCATCCCTTCATACGCATGGGCTCATACAGATGCTCCCCTGCATACCGGTGGGCCCCGGCGGTGTATTCTGGGGTCAGGAGTGGGCTGATGCACGCCAGATCGATAGAGTTGGCCTATGCGAGGTACACAACAGACGCGGGTGGGCCCATGTGACACCATATCCCGAAATTGATGAGCAGGGGTGTAACCATGGCCTTCTAATGCTAATGAGTAGAGATACAATCGAATCCGTGACGCCGGCAAATGTGACAGTAAATCCAACAGAATAGCGGCGATATCATGCTTAATTTTCATTGCATCACAGTGTACGCGGCGGCCAAGCATAGTTGAACAGGCGAGGAATGAAAATGCTGCTGTCGGCTGGTCTCGCCGGCGAGACATGTACGGCAATTCACAATGCCGATGAAACATGGCAGCCAAGCACAATTGAACAGTCGAGAAATGAACATGCTGCTGTCGGCTGATCTCGCCGGTAGCATATGCACGGCTACTCACAATGCCGATGAAACACGGCAGCCAAGCACAATTGAACAGTAGAGAAATGAACATGCTGCTGTCGGCTGATCTCGCCGGTAGCACATGCACGGCTACTCACAATGCCGATCAAACACGGTGACCAAGCATAATTAACAGGCGAGAAATGAACATGTTGCTGACAGCTAATCTCGCCGGCAGGACATGACCGGCCAGTCACAATGCCGGTGAATCAAGCATGGTGATGTGGGCAGATATCCATATTCACAGGTATATTTACAATTGTTGGGACACAAAATTGTTATCCACACTAAACTACAGTGGGTATATATTGTATTGTACATTACATGATATATTTACGCTGGCATTGTGCAATTACATTGCCGGCTCACCAGAAACATTAGAGTCCTCCGCCTCAGGAGTCTTGATGGCGATTGGCAAGCATGCCGAATCCTCGTCATTGGCTGGACCAGCAGCCAACTCATCAGACTCATCAGCGGCGATATCTGTGGGGGGCGCCGAGGAAGGTGGATTGACGAGGCGGTGAATGTCGGCGATCTTGCCGGCGAGCAGATCAGTGCGGTTGTCTTGCGCATCCAAGCGCGTGTACGCAGCTTGTTGCAGCTGGTCGCCTGCCACCACCTGCGCTACCAGGACTTCGACGGTCGAATGAAGCCTGGCAACTTCCAGCTTCAGCGCTTCCATTTCCTGGTCATGGGCGACACAGGATGGCGGCAAGATGGATGATGGGCCGGCGGCCTTGGGATCGTCCAGCGTTTGGGACGACTCGGGATTGGCAACCGCCGGTGTTGCAGGAGGCACCAGCTCTTCCTCGACCAATGGGCTGGCGTCTGGAGCTGGATCTTCTAGATTGGGAGTTAGTATGTCTTCAGCGCTGTAGCAATCATCTTACCTTGTATCGGCGAAGGGCGGCGCCGGGACTGAGAACGCGCTTGGCGGGCAGCCAAGGACTTGCCTTTGGCTGAGGGAGGGTTGGAGCCTTTCCCACCGCAACGAATCTTGAGGCGGCTGCACAGCGCACAAACCTTCAATGTCCGGCCGTTATTCTTGTTGAAGCCCTGACGGCAGATGAGATCGCGGGCCACACATTGGCCACAGCGAGGAGCCCATGTGGGCGCCAAAGTATCGGCGAACTCATCTTCCGTCAAGATGGCACCTGAAAAGTTCGTAATCTGTGCCGATGGGGAGTCAGATAAGGCGACAACAATATGATCCAACTTACTTTCTTAGCGCCCATCTTCGGCGCGACCGTGATAACGCGCTCTTCATCGGCGTCCATCTCGTCCTCGGTAGTGACCTCTACATACCGGTCGGATTTGCGAGATGGTGGGTCTGCAACTTTGGGCTAGAGGTACCATCAATCGAAGCTCACGCGTAAAAAGTTAGAAACTTACTTTAGTTGGCGGTGGGGCCACCTCGTCAGAGTCCTCATCAAGCTCATCATCGGTCGTGATGATAGCCCTGGACTTGCCGCGCTGCTTCTTGGAGATTGCCGGGCGGCTTCGGCTACGGGCGCTAGAGGCCCGGGGACGCTTGCCACGCTGAGTTCCTCGCCCCCGTTCTTTGGCAGGCAAGGCGGGAGCTTTTGAGGCGCCGGCTTGAGGGGACGGCGACCGAGACTCACTTCCATAATGGAGTGTGGCGGGGAAGAGGGGATGGCCTTGAGTTCGGCAATCATCCCCTCCGATCTGTGTCCACACAGGCGGGCTGCTGATGCCGGAGTTGTCGCCGTCCACGTGCTCCTGCAATTCGGCAGCGGCCGACAGGATTAATGGTGACAAGACTGTCACCAAAGCGCCATGTGTCATGAAGACCTCAGTCTAAAGAGCAATGAGACACGCCACACAAGCAAAGAGAAACTTACTATTGCCTGCGCCATGTTGGTGGCAAGTGAGATATGGTTCGAATCCTTGGGCTGCAACTGGCAGGCTTGCCCAAGGATATGTTCAATCTTATCCGACAGATCGCGGAAAGATTGGTTAGCGGTGGCTATGCGGGTTGTTGGAGACATGGTGGTAGTAGTAAGATGAGGAACGGCGACAAACAGAACACAACGTAATATATACAAATTTCATTTGGCCACAGTGGCGGTTGATTATGTCATTTTCCCATTGTCCGCCCACAGGTACCGTACATTCAATTGTACAAGACCTTCTCCACAAAGACCACTGTTTACACTCAATGTGCGGTGACCGTTCACCATTAGTAGCATGCTGCACAATGAATTTGTGGATCTCCAAGGATGTGGCCAAGTGCCAATCAAAGATACCCGCCATGAGAATTCAAATCCCGACCCATTAATCTATTTAAACCCTGTTTTGTACACATTGCGAGGTCAAAATTCATTCTCCCACCCATGTCTTCCCAACAAGACTTAGAATTTACCTTGAAGGATTTCACACAAATTTTCGAGCATGCTGGATCCCGCCTGCTCACCATTCGCATTGAGCTTGAGAAAACAAAGCTCACAATATCGCTGGACGATCGGCGAATATCTGAATTGGGACATTGAAGTAAGTTCAACTTGTCCTATTTTGCACAGAGGTCAATTGAACTTCCAGGCTTACACACTCCCTTGAATGGCATTTTGCGCCGGGTTGTCTTTCAACCCGCCACTTTCAAAGCACCTCCGTCACATGGTCGGCGTGCTGTCAATGAAACAGCTCAACATGCTGAAAGATTATGCGGAGGTGTATGACACATTCCTCAGTTTGCCGGTTTCGCCATCCGGGCCATGGACTAAGGGCCGCCGCGTCCGGGAGTATCGCCATGCTTGGTGGACGGACCTTGCGACCATCAAGCTGGATCGAAGGTTCTTGACAACCTATCCGGACGGCCATGAGGTGAAGGAATGTGTCACAGCACATTTTGTGCAAATGGTGAGTCATTGACTTCGCATGGATGACAACTAACAAACACCGGTTGCAGTTTGAGGGAGACGCCTTAGTCACACCGGCGACACTGGTTCAAGCAATGTCAACACCAATTGCTCAACAGCTAGCCACCATCCGCGCTGAGGCTAGGGAAGAAGGTGAATATCTTTTAAAGATGTTGGAAGACAAGGTTCTAGAGGCGAAGATGGTGGCAGCCACTATGCTGAGATTGGACACGGCATTAGGGGATGATGTACTGCAAGCCATCACGGCGTCCGACAAACTAGTGAAGTATTTGAAAAGAGAGGTGACAGGAATAAACAGCCGGTTTGAGTAGTTAGCTTGAATGTGCTCCATGTAGTAATAGTTAGAGATTCCAACCTATGGCTGTCTTGACAGGAATGCCGGTTCAATGGCTCATGCATGCAAATCAACAACTGGCCATACCGGTCTCATTTCATCTATAACAACTTGTAGGCATGGCGGTCAATCCTCATCATTGCCGAAGTTGCACAATCCTGCGAAGCGACATCGCCGGGCAGGACAAAACAATGGCAGTGTGCTCCAGCGATATACCGCCAGCCTGACCAATCTCAGTTAAGTTACTGGCTCACATGGTCCTGGACTTAATATTCACGCAGGAGACCTGGCAGGAAGGCAACTGCAATGCTGCTTGACCACTTTCCGGCAACTTTTCAGACAGCTGATAGCAGTGCTGCCGGACATGCCCTGATCGTGGACATAGATTGGCTACCATTGCCGACGAACCTCCGGCCACGCCGATGGGTATCATCCTGTGTGCTTCGGCTGACAGTAAACTAATCGAGCATATATTGAAGCAGCCTTTGCCGTTCACTATACTAGTGTGTTACACCGGCGGCCATGCAGCCATTCGCCCGGTTGAATGAATCTCTCGCCTCTCCGAACAGACGCTGATAGATTTTGCACTGCCTCTCCGAGTATGCCACATGTCCATGCTTCTGGGCTAGCTTCGAGATGGCACCTGAGACTGGATCCATTCATCGGCCTTCCGAAGCAAAAAGTTACATGTCCAATCCATTTCATGCTGAACAAGCAACAACTCTTCTGCCCATCGGTCCTCTCATAGCCTTGGCACGAAGCCAGTGAACACGGTAAACTGCAACATCGGCGTTATAAGCGCCGCTTCCACGGAGTATCGGTGACCTGCTCACACTCATTCAGCCAGTCACTGCTATCGGAGTCCCCTTCGACATCCAAAGACCAAAACCAAGCTAACACATTGTTCCTCTGCCCTCTTGAATTTGGATCGGCGATGGCAGTACTGACCTTGAGATGCTCCCTTGTCAACAGTTGGTATCTCTTGAGCAGTGCATCATCTGTGCTGAGTCTGCACAATTGCGATCGGCATTTTGAATAGATACTTGCATTGATGCTGACCGCCCTGTCCACTGAATGAACTTGAGCCCAAGCTCTGGTAGACAACACTTGTGATTTTGCTACTCTGACAGTCTTCCGGAAAATGACCACCTTGTCAGCCAAATGCACCCTGATGTGGTGCAGGGCATCATTCGCCTGACCTTGCCAGAGCGTGAGTTCCTGATCGGCAATATCAGCAATGCTGAGGGCCGCACATTTCTCTAGCCCCAAATTGGAAGGCAAAGGAATCACCCCCTTTTCTGGCTCAAACGCTCTAAGCTTGGTGTCCATATCTTCTTCAGCGTCTTCTTGAAGTATTAACAGATCTGGTTGCATGATCTGCATGTCATTGTCGCCTAAGTCCTCGCTGAGAATTATTGCTCTGGCCGCCGTCCAGCGATCGATATCCCATTGCAGGGTATCACGTCGGTGACCAATCAGCCAATCACTGAGTATCTGTTGCCTGATGTCTGAGCTTTCTCATATCCATCTGCAGCGTGACCTGGGCTTCCTCGATAGCAAGGCCCTCTGCCAGCCACTGTTGCCTGCACCTCTCCGGCACACCTCGCCAAGCCGCCGGCCTTGTGCCAGTTAACAACCTTAACTCTTGCTGTTTTCTGGTCAGCGCTGTGCAAGAATCAGAACTGACTGTCCGTACAAGAAGTCTACATACCTTTGCTGCAGTTGAACTTCATAAATGTCCATTGCTATTGGATCATGGCGCCACTGTTCATGTGCCAACCTCTCTTGGGCCTCCCAATCTTTGACTTTATCGGCATCAGGCACTCTCATCAAGGCCGCTCAAATGCCATGTTGCTGTCGGCGACCCCTTTCATAGCTTCCTTGTATTTTTGGCAAAGCAATTTGCCTGTATGGTCTCTGCTGTCAGATTCATGCACAGAATAAATGAGACACCCACTCATTCTGATCATTTTCATGAAGTTGCAATCATTCATTTGGTAATCCAGGCATTCTTTTCGGTGAGGAGTTCCCATGCCACAGGCTGCCAGTGAGATTATATTTAACAGCACCCATAATGTCTCTATGATCTTGCCATCGATCCTGGCTGCGCCTTGTATGAAATTGGAAGCATATCTGACATAGCAGCTGTCTTGATGGCCATGGATATGCCAAAGTCCAATACCGGGGGTGATTTCCAGCTCATCATGCATCTTCAGCAATGGACTGTCGGTGATGCGGTCCTGGAGGTGCTTATGATACTGACAGTTCACATCATAGAAGGTCAATACACAGCGGATGCCCTTGGTGTTGAGTTTCAACGCCTCGCACAGCGCATAATCCATATTCATCTGTCTGTTGATGGTTGGCGATAACGCACACAGTCTGAGTGATTGTACACATCTTTCTCCCTTCTGAAAATCTACCATGGCGTGCGGGACAAAACAGCCATGCCTCGCAGATGCGCATCTGCCGATGCTGGTGGCCTCCAATCTGTGATGAGATGCATTTGCCAAATTTACTGCGTGGTGGTTGTTGCACTCTGAGCGTTGCATGGCATCCTTGGCAATGGCCAAATGCTCCTTGTACAAGGCATTGCCGACCATGAAGCCACGACCATTCATGAGAGACACTTCATCGGCGGGATTTGTGGCATGAAGATGCTTGGCTTTGAAGTTTCTGTCCATGACAAGCGATCTTATGTATAACAAACTCAGAGTCTCTTGACCAGATCCATTGTTAGCATTGATGTCCTCAGTGGTGCCTCTGGCAGGCAATGTGACATTAATTCCCAGCTGAGGACATGCCGGAAAAAAGAGGGCTAGATTGCCAGGTCTCACTTCCTTTTCCTCATGGCCGAAGCCATTCCACTTCAGGAGCTTCAACTTCTGCCATTGTCTTGCCACCCTCATGAGCTCCCAGTAATGGTCCTTTATGACAATTAATGAAATGGCAGATGGTGCACCACAAAGCTCACCAGCACCAAGTGAGGAAAGACACTTGTGGTCATCCTCCTTAACTTGCTGTAATAATTCATCGCCAAAGTCCCGCACTCCAGGTTGTCGAGTGAGAAGTCATTCAAGACATCGAAGGTAAATGCTGTCTTTGGTTCTATGAATGACGCCAGAAACAAACCCATGTTAAACAACTGTATATCAGCGGTGTCGGCCTCTGGGCATGTGCAATACTTGATGATGTGGGTATGTACTCCGGACTTGTCAACTATTGTTATCATGGCCTTGTTGTTCTTAATGAACAGCACACCAGTTGGTAGGTCATGGGCCTCCTTTGTGCTCTGCTCAGCATTTGGTTCATTCAATGTGCTCTCGGCATCCGTATCATTGGAATCTCCTTCCCCTGTAGTGAACAGAGCTGATTCCCCTACATCATCATCCCATGGGCATGCATTTCCTTCATGTCCAAGCCAGATCACCATCCCACTCTTGACCAAGCAACTTTCCTCAAAGAACAAGCCTGTCCATTGGCTAACCCGATGAAAGGAAAGCCTCTGGTGCTGGGTTCTGCAACAACTTGTGCAAAAGAGAGGCTCACTGAAGCATCCATGGCATTTATAGACACCATCTGTCCCACAGATGATACATGACCTATCTGATGGAACTTATCTTTCAAGGAGTATGTCAAGATATGCTTTGGTCTTTGGGACCCATTGATGTATATAGTCATTTTGACTCTGAATACAGATCAGTGGTGAAATAGAGGTGATATCGGTGGATGGTTCACCAGGGACTTTGGCAGGTGCAGTGGAGTCACCATGTGATCACCAAGGTCGCCTGAAAAGTCATCTCCCCTATGGTAAAGCATACCATAAGATTCCTGCTTTGAGGGAGACTTAGTAGGGGTTGCTGGAACCGATCTACTAATGATAGGTCTCTCCACCCATTTGCTGACCACCTTTCTTGTCCTATATGTTCTCTGCCATTCCACCACTGCATACTTACATTTTGGAGTCCACTCTTGTAGTTTAGAACCTCCCATTTGTTGAGCCCAGTACTGTATAAGAATCTGTAAGAATGACAAGTTTCAATTGACCGATGCAACATGGTCATATCAATTAATCACCATTGGTTACAAGTACATAATAAGAATTATAATATAAGCCAAACCGAGCAGAACACAGCAATCATATCCACTATATATCCATGATATGAACTGTAATATAGCGTGAATGAACTGAGCAGAACAGAACAAAACCATGGAACACCAATGACAAGTCAACCAACTGTTGTTGAGTCTGGAAAGATTCACCATCACCATCCTTTATAACACAATATGCCAAGAAGTGAATCTCCTATCGTGGTTCCACAAAAAAAGGTTTGCTTGCAGAAGGCTGAAGTGTTGGTCCTCAGAGCCCACCTAGAAGACTGGAAGTCTGTGAAAGGACAGGAGAGATGGCTGGAAGCGAGGGGATAATTACCAAGTGGCCGAAGGCAGCAAAGACAGTCATTAATTGTTTGTCAGCAGAGGAGAGAGAGGAAGCAGAGGCCATGGCAGAGAAGTGGAACAACGAAGCGGTGCTGCCAGATATTCAGGCCGAGGTCGCTGAGAGCAAGGGCGCCGACATGATCGAGCATTTCGCGACTGAAATATTCAAGAAAGCCGGAATGAGGGTCTGCATCCTATCCGCTTGGAAGGACAGCCAAGGCAAGCTTATGTTGGGAGGGTGAGTGTCATCTCCGATCAATTGGTGATTTATTCAACAGTGACTGTAGCCACGACTTCAATGAACAGTTCAGGGATGGGGAGAGCTTTATCAAGACAAGGGATTGGGACGGCATTATCATGCCTGAATGGGTGGAATATGTGGGGGAGCAATTTGGTGAGGCCATGTGAATGTCTTACTGGCGAGCATACTGAGACAAATGAATGTTTAGATGGCGAGGACGATGGGGAACCCCAGATAGTGAAATCAAAGAAACAAGTCGCCAAGAAATTAGTTGAACTTGATGAAGATGCTAATGGGTGCCTGATTCTGCCCGACACAACGGGTTGGAAATGAGCCAAACAACAGCACATGATTTGGTCTTTCTTGATGAAGCTCTATAGTACTTTGTTTTGCTCTGTCAGATTGTATATCATTCTGATTCTTAACAGGAATGTGCTCTGGCGAAGAAAACCTGAAAGTGGTGGTGCCATGTGGGGATGTAATCCATGACCCATGGGCGTTCTTTGACGGCGCCCATTGGCCGGCAGCATGCAGCTCAAGGAGCCATCCAAGATGGATAAAGCAGATGCCACCACCATACTAGATTTCTGGTTTGACTGCCAGAAAAACGACATGCAACCGGCCTTCTCATTCAAGGCCTGGAAAGATTTCGATGGTGAGATGCAAGAGGCAGACTTGTGGCCACTCAGTGCCCACCATGCCAATGCCACAAAGCAGAGCATAGGGAAGGGTAAGGGCAAAGCCAACCCTAAAGCTAACCGCCGCTGTGTGGTGGAGGATAGCAATTTGGAGGACCGAGTTGGACAGTGATCTTGGAGAGGATGGTGTTAGTCCATCCAGTGAAGATGAGGAAGCACCATCCACCGGTGGAGAGCCCGAGATTTCGCCGCCCCCAAAGGTCGCCTTGCCGACCAAGAAGAAGTGGGCTGCAGGTTCATGCTGGGATACCAGACAAGTTGTCGCCAAGGTCGGCGGGGTTTTGAATCCTCCGATGAAAGGTTCTATTCCCTCCGGACAGCCTCTCAAGTCACAGGGAATACCATTGAAGGCGCCGGCCACATCTTTAGTGCCTGGAACTAGAAGCAAGGAGGTCGCATATACATCAAATGAGCCTCCCAAGAACTTGAAACGCCGTGGCACTCACGCCGTGAGTGACACGCCGGCAAAGCGAACCAGGAGTAAAACCACTGTGCCGGAAGCTTCAAGGGCCAAGCGTGGCAGGAAGTAATCATTATGTCATATTACATCTGTAGGATACGCCGGCATGAAATACAAAGCACACTGTCCGCCGGTGCACATCGGTATAACTCATTGGCAATGTGCCGTTAACATAACATTGGTGGTACTCAAGAAATAGCCGTGACTAATTGAAAGATATACTGTATGTACTACTGACTACCGCGGTCCTCTCTGCTGTCTCAACCTCATTTGCGAGACAGTCCATAAACGAAAGCTGGCGTATGTGGTGCTCAGATGCATGATGAAGGGTGATAAGATCTTTGAAGATCCTAGTCAACCGATCTCTGGACTCACAGAACGCCAATAATACAGCGCGGTTGCTGTCAAGACATCTGCCGGCATGGGATCTCGGACATCATCGCCGGGCCTAATGAGGCTACCCAGCATTGTTTGGGCGAGTCGATCAACTGTAAATAAGTCAGTACAGTTGGAAGAGTCATGTCAGTTGCGGGACTTACATTCATCCCCATTGAGCCGTTTCACAATGTCAATGGCAGCCTTCTCAGCTCGCCGATAAGGCGTCCGATGGTGTCTTGGCGGGTCACTTGACTGGCGGGATTGAGTTTCCGTCGTTTGGCAGCGGGGAAACCACCCTCCCAGTTCGGCAAGGCCTTTGGCGTGTAAGGGTCTGACTCGGGAGCCGGTGCTGCCTCTGGCACAGCGGCTATGTTAGGCGCCGGTATTGCCATCGGCACCGGTGCTGCTTGTGGCACGGCGGCTGTAATAGGCGCCGGTGTCCATTCCCCTACCTTTGCTGGTGGGACCTTACAACCGAACTGGAATGCTAGAATTGTGGTTAATCTTCGGATAACTCATGCATATAGATGAGCGACTTACGTTTATTATTATGGTCAAACCCAACATGGGTAGCAACAGCCGCTGTTGTTGAAGGTGGCTGTTTCCAGCCAAAGTTGAACTTGGCTGGATGTTCGGCCGCCGGTGCCTGAGGAGGAGTTAGGGCAGCGGCGGAGACATGGGTCTCTTGAGAGGGATTACCGACACTGGCACTCCATTGTCGGGAGTGTTGGAACCGCTACGGCGGGTGCGCCGGACATCCTGCGGCGAGTGCAGTGAGGGTAGAATCTCACTCTCCACACTCATCCGAAGTTGAACGGTTGAGATGCCTGAACCGGCGGCTTCTCTGTGGCAATGGACCGAGTCCAGCCAAAATTGAATGTTGTGGGAGCTGGGGAAGATGGTGTGCGCTCCGAGTCGACTGCCGCTGGGCCTGGCGTGTTAAGTGGTTGGCCTGCCGGACCTGCCGGCTTCTCTGTGGAATGGGATGGGGTCCAGCCAAAGTTGAATTTTGTTGGAGTTGGGGAAGGTGATGTAGGGTCCATTGCCGCTGGGCCT